ACAAAAAATATATTATCAACTTGTTGCTCTCTTGTTTGAGGCAGTTGTGGCCAAAATTTTTAGGGTTTTTTTCTTCCCAGACTCCAATCATCACAATTTTTTGCAAAGCATCCTTATTTGACATGAGTAAAAACATATAAATATTTGGAGTTTGTTCCATGTCAGGAAGTTAACTATATCAAACATCAAAAAATGCTGGATCCGCGCAACTAATTTTTTTATTTATTTAAAATATTTAAAATCTTATTCTTATTAATTATATAATGAATTGAACTTTTGATTTAATTATAATTTTAATTTCAACATTCATTTTATTTAAAATCAAAGTTTGAGAAAAAGAATCAAAAAGTATTTCAATTTGAATTGTTTAAAAAAATTATAATAAAGCAATAATAACCTACTCTTTAATTATAAACTTAGTAAAAACTCTGAGCATCTGACTTCTTAAACTTTACATGAAAATGTCTAAAGCTTTATTTTCTATTTATCTATATATGTCGATATAAACAACTTGATTTTCTCAATACCCAAAAGTATTATTTGACTTTTTCTTGTGACTTTCAAGACTTGAAGAATAAAATAAAGTTTGAGGTTTCTAGAAAATATTACATATAAAAAAAATGCCGTGGCTAATGGGTTGGAGGCCCTCCCAAATTGTTAATGTTTAAAAACTAATGATTTGTCAAATCATTAATTTTGTTAAAGAAATAGACTAAGATCTATTTGAAAAAAAAAAAACGTAATAAAGGTAAACTTATATCGAAATTCATGTCAGTTTAAAAGTAAAAGAAGTTCAGAAAAAAAAAGTTGATTCTAAAAGATTGGAAGAAAAGGACAATTTAATTAATGATTTAATTAAAGGGAAAGCAAATGCATTCTATGATCTCGCAATTAACAAAAAAACTGCTACTTGCAGTTATATTTCCTTTGGGGGCATTCATAAAGTATGTACATAGTAAAACTTTTAATTCAGGACCCACCATCCTCTCCTCATCCCCTTGTACGCACCGTTTTGCTATTATCAACCTCCTCTGCGTACGTACGCACAATTTATTACAAAATCACTACTGGCACCCCCGCCCCCAAATACATGCAAAACAAAAAATTCAAATTCGACATTTCTCTGTTACATAACGTAATATTGATTTTTTAAACTCGTGAAATTCAATACTTTTGTTGAAAAAAAAAGTAAAGTTTTAAGGTGAGTTTCCAATCATCCGTTTTTCTACGGGAAAGGGAAAAATAATCACGTGAGCATGCGTAATAAATGTTTTTATTTGTCCGTAAGGAAACTGCGCATGCTCACGTGATTATTTTTCCCTTTCCCAGAGAAAAACGGACGAGTGGAAAATCACCTTTAAGAGAGAGAGAACGAGAAATTGTCAAACCGCGTACCAATTTGCTGTCTTTATACTCCTTAAACGCATTCGTGCGTTTTCGGGTAACTCCCCCTCTCCCATACCTGCGTACATTACGGAAGACTCCTTCGTTAAAAACTCAAAATTGCATTGTAATCTGTTTCTTAAAAAAATTGGAGGAAAAAATTTGCAGTAATTACAATTTTGTAATTATTTTTTGTGGTTAATATCTCTATATTTTATTGCTACTTTTTTGCAATATGCAAATAATGCATAAATAAGTAGGCACTGCACAAAAATTCATGCATATCAACTATTTAGAAATTTCTCAAATCATTTCGTGATTATTAATAAAACTAACGATACGTATAAATTCAATTTTACGAATAACTTCCCAGTCTAAGATTTGCAAAACAATTTGATTATTTTTGCAAGATGGTTTCATACTATTTCATATTAAAATCAGTTAAATAAAATAATAAACAAAAACTTAATGCTTTAATTAAAAATTTTAGCTGAGAATTTTCTTTTATCTCTCGCCAGTATTTTTCCATGAATTTTAAGAAATAATATGAACGAGCATAGAAATGATATGAAACAATAAGCAAAAATTAACAATTCCTAATGTGGTAGAATCTACCATATTAGGAATTCTAAGTCAACTTATTCCATTTAATTATAACTACTAATTGGTGTTAGTTTAATAAATAAAAAGTTTTTTAATGTGTAAATTATGTCAGGTCAAGTTTCATCTCTCAAATCTGTTAACTCGTATATAACGCGTTTTGGAGATATTATTGAAAATTATTAAAATCCAAATCCATTAAAACACTTCTATTTAATTAGTACTTGATCTATTTCTATTAAATTTTTTAGTATTAGCACTTGATCTATTGTTATTCTTATAATATTTTTAAAGAAAACGTGACAGGTTATGGCACAAAAAATATATATTACTATACTTTTATATATAATATACTTTTTGCATTAAGTTGAAAACTATTTGTTTGAATATAAAATCTAAACTACAACTTTTGTTCAAATTAACATTTTTTCAAATTAACATTTTTTCAAATCAACATTTTTTCAAATTAACGTTATAACTTGGATTGAAAAAATCGGCTGCTAAACTATTCAGCTTTTAATTGCGTTTCTTCTAAAAATTTAGCGCTAATACTTTCACACTTCACCTTGTTATTATATATTTCTTTCTCCAAATTGGGATCATGTAAAGATGCAAGATCTATGCATAACATAGCTGATTTCATATTCAAAGATTGAATTGATGACTTCATTTTGTTCAAATCTGAAAGAAGCATTTCAAGTTCTTCGCCGGGAGTAATATTTTTGTCCATTCTTAATATTTATATTTTATTCTTTTTGATAAATAATAAAAATACTTTAATTATTAATAAAAAAAATCCAAAAACTAATTTATTTATTAATAAATTAACAATTATTACTTTTGTAATTAATTAATAATTCTTCATATCATTGCTAAACTTCAAAACATGAAAAACATTAACTAAATTTTTAAATTATCTTCTGTTTTTTTCCTTAACTTACGTTCGACTGAAAAACTCGATTTAAAAAAAAAGAATATTTTTATACAATATTCTATAATAACTCTCCTGGGTTTAAAATGCTTTAGTGAAAGATGTGTTTAACTGACTTTATTATTATTTAAGTTTTTGAATTGTCTTTATAGAAATATTTGTTACAATTTAATTATAAATGAATGACTACAAAAAAAAAAAAAAACACAATCAAAAATATGCTTTAAAAATTACTAATGTTTTATTAATGTAGTTTCTTTCAACTGTTGTGTACGCACTTTTTAACATTAATTTGACCTCTCCCCTTCTAAAGAAATTTTAACAACTCTTTACCCCATTTAAATTTTTTCATATTAAACTTTGCAACGCAATGTTTTCTAAAATAAAAAAAGGATTGCCCCAATAAAATGCACTACTTGAAGTTTTTTTTTCTTCTCTCATTATATTTAACTAACTAAAATAATTTAAACTATGTTAAATTTAGTAAACATCTAAATCCAAATGTTTTAAACACGCCTAAAAATACTTTTTTTTACGTTGGCTATTCTTTCATTTGCTATATTGTTACTCTATATTTTATATGTACTAAATTTAATCATTAATTGAAAACGTGATTTTATGCGATAATGAGTTTACTATTTCCTTCTTAGCCACTTCTATACACACAGAGCGATCTCGATGAAGTTGTACGAACAAGAGAAGACAACTGGTTGAAAAAGATAGATGATTTAGAACTGAAAGTAAATTAAATAAGATATTTATTATTTTTATTTTTAACTGCTCGGAATTAAGGAGTTTTTTAATCGAAAAAATAAACATCTTTTGTTTTTTGCTTGATTTACAGATAAAAGAAGAAATTGCAATGCGTGATCTATTAGAACAAGACCATCGTGAAAAAATGGACAGTATCCGTCGTGAGAACAATGACATGAAGCAGGTTGTTGCGCAATACGAGAAAACCATTGTTGAGTTAACCGGTAAATGAAATTAGTTAAAAATGAACAATGAAAAAATTTTGTTTTGTATGATCGTTTTTTTATTTATTTTTTATACGTTAATAATTATCTTAAAAAATATATAACTAAAGAATTACTTTGATTATAGAAAACACGCATCATTTTAACCAGTTCAGCGAAGAAACGTTATCTGAAACAGTTCGCGCTAAAGAACAGGTATTGTTAAAACTATATTTAGTTAATTACTTAAAACATATTTTTATAAAATAATGTATTTACTTTTTTTCTTTTTGTACTGTTTACTTAAGTTGACCTTAGTTCCGTTTTTTAAGTTCTAAATCACTGTTAATATCTTAGTTTTAACTAGGTATCGCACCACCAACACAAAAACGGGGTTGTGGCCCTCATTAAATATACTCCGATTTCCAAATCATTATCGATTAATTAATAGTTGTTGATAAATCTCTAGGCTAATTGACCAAATAATTTGGATTTTATTATCATCTATTTTTTATAAATATAACAAAAGCGAACTTTTCAAAACGCGTCATTCCAAAAAGATACAGTTTTTAATCTACACCAGTATTTAGTATATAATTGCCTAGTGTTTATATACTAAATTGATAACATTTATTAAATATGGTTTCGGTAGATAATTTTAATAAAACTTTTTATAATAAAAAATTAAAAAATATATTTTTCTTTCGCATCAGTTGTCTTTAGCATCTTTTAAAGGTTACAAGAGCTTTCCCTGAACAAATTCTTGTTTTTTTGTTTATTAATTTTTTTTTGATAAGATTTGAAAAGTTTTTTTTTTTTGTTTTTTTTTTTTTTTTGGATTACCGTTATTAAATTTAGATATTTTACGCCCTCAGACAATTCACGCCCAAGATGCATGTTTTTTTTGCGCTATAATTTCGCCACCAACTTTCTGTTTTTTTTTTTGGCACAGTACTGTTATGCAGTTAGTTTGTTTTTTTGTTTTTTGTTTTCGCGAGTGATCATTTGACGCAGAATCTTTTACATTGATGTTTTTGATAGAATCCAGACCTATATTTTAAAGTCTGTAAAGAACTAAACTTCGATTTTACAAATGTAAAGAACGAAAAATTAACTAATGAATAACTTACTTACTGCTTCTGTTTCCTGTTGTGCAATTATTATTTTTTCCATCTGCCAATGTACTCAAAGCACTTGTTTTCATCGTTGGAAACGGTAATTCAAAACAAAACTCGACAACACGTTGCTATAATAATATGCAGCAAATAATAGATGCCGACCTGTGTGCTAATTTGGTTCAAAAGCCACCTTTTTTTTTTAAACTGTAGTACCTATTTGTTAAAAAATAAAGTTGTAAAAAGTATAGCAAATTAATTTTGGCCGATCGTATTTAAAAACTGTCAGCATGAAACTTGCGTGAAAAAAAAGCAAAAAACATTAAATATTTCATAATAAAAGATACTTTCTACATAAAATGTTAAAAATTACCACAATTTTTTTTTTTAACAACAAATGTAATAAATTTCGAAAATCAAATATAGGTTATTAAATATTACTAACTATAAATATTACAATTTTTAAATATTTTAAAGTATAATTTAAGGTTTTATCTTTAAAATAATTTTAAGCGAATATTTTATATTAATTCAGGTTTTTGACTGAGGGTAAGGTGTTTTATAAAAATAGATTTTAATGAAATATAATCTCGTTTGATTTTAATAAAATATAAACTTGTTTGATTTTAATGAAGTATAATCTCGAGTCGGTAGCTTTAAAAAAAGCTACCGGCTTCTAATCATTGTAATTTTTTGTTTAATATCTTTATTTCATACTAATATAAACACGCTAAAGTTTGGTAAAAAAAAAATTTCACAGCTACAGCAAGAACTACATGACGCTGAAACTAACCTTGTGGACGCATACAAACGAATCGAAAAGCTTAAATTCGCAATTGACACTTATAAACAAAACGAAGAGCATTTAAAAGCATCTGTTCAAGATTTTCAGACTAAATTAAAACGTTCTGAAGAGCGGTATCAACAGCTTAAGCAACATGCTGCCGAAAAAGTTGAGGCGTAAGTAATTAAATGTTTACTCATGAATATTAGGGGTCGTCCATAAAGCACGTACGCTTTTTTTTTCGCCACCACCCTTCCACCCCCACCCCCAACCCCCAACCCCCCCCCCCCGCGCGTAATTTGCCGTACGCTTTTTTGAGTACTCTCTACCTCCCTAAAAGTACCTACGCTTTTAACCTACTAACCCAACATTTTCTAATATTTTTTTAAATTTAGTGTCTCCATACTTTTATAATTGACCTACTGCCCCCTTATCTCAGAAACGCCATTTGCAGACCTCCTCTTCCTCTCCGAGCGTACGTACTTTATGGACCATCCCTTATCATGATATTATTTTAAAAAGAAGTAATTGAATTTTTAAGAGCGTTTAATAATTTAAAAATAGATGAAAACATTTTTTTGATTTTAGTTATTTAAATTCTAAAAATAAATACAATTTTTTTTAGCGCAAATATCGAAATAAATAAAGTTCGCAAACAAAAAGAAATAGATTTAGCTGGCCTTCAAGCGAGTTTAAAGAAAGCGCAAAGTCGCATTAATAGTCTCGAAACTATTGTGGAACAAAAGGTGAGTTTTAATTAAAAAACATGTTTTAATTAAAAACATGGGGGATTTATAATAATGTTGATGAAATAATAATTTTATTCACTTTTTAAAATAAAAATATTTGAGATTTTACTGCTCGAAAACGTTTTAAACTAATTATTAAAAAGTCAATTCGGTAATAAAATACGATTTGTTTTTAGCAAATATTTTAGAAACATAGTTTTGGGTAATTAATAGGCACCAGCGAGTTTCAACTTTTTTTAGCAAAATCAATTGCTTCCAGCGGGAATACCTTTATTAGACCATAAGACTAGCGAGCAAAAATTGAAAGATGCAAGTCTTCCCGATTCTATCTTATTTTAATTTAATTTTTTTACATATAGTTCATAATATGTTTCATAATGAACTATGTCATAATTATAATGAAACTTTAACTTAATACAGAAAAAATAATAAACTTCCGCTGGAATGTTTTCGTTTTGTTTACGTTCCCTTATTTTTAATAATGCTTTTCTTTGTAATTCTACAAAAAAAATGGTGTCTTTAAAGCGGTTAATGGTGATTTTTTGCACTTATTTTCAAATAAGATAGCAATTAGATTTTTTTATTTAAGCTCTTATTTTCTTATAAACTATCTACTCCAGCTTGAAGCAACGTTGCGGTGTTGAGACAACGTTGCGGAGCTGAGACAACGTTGCGGAGTTGAGACAACGTTGAGGTGTTGAGACAACGTTAAGATGTTGAGACATGGGTATTGTGCAGTTATTCTGACTTAATGATCTTTATCCCAAAAAAAAAAAAACCCAAAATTTTATATTTATTATGCTACCTGTTTAAAAATAAAGGTAAAGTAAGTTTTTTTATTATTTGCATGATTTTTATATTATATTTTTATATTATATTTAGACAAAAGAAAATAAAGAGTTCGCTCAAATATGTGACGATCTTATCAAAAAGGTGTCTGGTGAATAAGATTATTTTAGCATTTATTTTGTAAATAACTTTTTATATGTGATCTTATTGTCGCCTTGTTAATGTCTAATAGTTTTGTTACCAAATATAATTCAAAGCAGTAGTGTATACCTCAATGTGTCGATTCTAAATACATGTATGTACGTATATATCTGCGGATATGATTAGTGCAAAATTGATCGTTTTGAGATAAGTATGCAGTTTTGTTATATTTCGTTAGTTCTTTAATTTGTTCAAACTATGGTTGCTGTAGTTTATACAGAAATACCTGTAGCTGATTGGTCCATATATGATTTTCATTATTAACCGATTTACGGGCAACAAATTAATTTTTCTTTTTAAATTAAGTCTTTTCTTGCAAAATGTCATATTTGCACTTATTATAAATTGTGTAATGGTCGCAGATATATGTATATATGTATGTATGCGAGAGTTCATCATCTTTTTGCTTTGAAACGTAATTAGTTGCAAAATCAATTAAAAGTAATCAGTTACAAAATTCTGTATTACACAACCTATTCCGAGCGATATAATTGCTATATTGGAAAGAGATAATAAATGCCGTTTGTTAGAGAAAAACATTATTAAATAGACTGGATGAATGTTATTAGAAAAGAAACATTCACAAAAAATTTTTATCGTATAGTTTAACACAAAATGGCTTTGTCAGGTATGGGTTCAAACGAGCCAATTATCAAAAAGTTTGCGTCTTCTTCAAAATGGGGTTTATCATAAAAGTAAAGTTGTTCTGTTTATTTATTACTAAGATTAATTCTAGTTTGTGGAACTATTGATTTAAATTTTTTATTTATTAGAGGAAAATTTTAAAACTTTTTCAAAATTATTCGTTGGCTGCAACTGCTGTTTATAATTTAGTGGGCTGTGATGTTAAACTTAAAGTAAATTTATACAGGAGGATTCTTGTATAATAGTTGCCAAGTTAATAAAACTTTTTATTAAAAATAATTTTAATTAAAAATTATAGGATGGCTTTGGCCACAATTTTTGGTGGCTTTGAACACAACCTGGGGTTGTGTTTAAAATACAAAAATGTAATTATTACATTTTCAATGTAATATATTTTTTTTATTTTTCAGGAAAAAGGTTGTATATAGATATAATATTATTGATTTAATTTTCAATTTCTCTTTTTAGGATAAAATACTAATAAAAAAAAAAATCATATTTGTAACATTTAGATTATGCCAAGGACGTGTTTAAACGTGTTGCTGAGAGTCACAATTATATTCTATATACCCAGTAATCATTAACCAAATGTTTAAATAAAGTAAGAAGTGGTAAATTGACACAGATGCTTCTTTAACTTTTAAAACTGCCTCTTTCAAGTATACCGAATATACTGAAAAGTTTACATAATAAAAAAAATAGGTGTTAGCGTATTACTTACCAAAATTGATGAAAAAATACTTTCGAACTATGTAACAACTATGTGTTCTTTTGGATTCCCAGTTGTTTTAAGAGTATAATCAGTTCAAAAAAGTCTGCTAAATTTTTTATGTATTTAAGTAATGCAGAAGGGTATATAATTTCTCCATATTTTGTCTACAAAGCAGATTTGATGTATACAATAGGGTGGGCCGAAAAAATTTTTTCTTCTGATTTTTGATTCGCTATACCGAAATAAACATGCCTCAAGGGTATATAAGGAAAATGTAAAAAAAAAAATAATACTAATATTTTACATCTGTACTTAAATATTTGAATAATTACTCGCTTTTTATCGTTTTTGTAATAAAGTTCGCATTAGAGTATTCCCAAAATGCGCTGCAAAATTGGTGTGTTTCTTGCCACAACAACTTGTTTTAGTTTTGATTATTTGATAATATTAACCAATCTGCCACGGATGTTTTTAAAAAGATTACTTATAGCGAATTTAATTGCCCGATTTTTGGTCATCCAATAGAATTATCTGTAAATAAACTTCCAACTCTCAAGTGTTGTTTTAATGAAAATTACAAACTAGCCAAATCAAACAACAAGCCAGTTAAGTTTTCTTATGTTTCAAATTGTCTCGTACAACAACTTATATCAATGTTTGATAAAGCTTCAATACCCACAGTAACGGTTTACAGAGTTGTCCTATAAATAAATTCTTTACAATGACAGTTATCGCAATCTTATGAAATCTTTCAAGCGTGATAAAGAAAAATTAAAGTTCAAAAAGAGAGTTGAAGATTTTTAAAAAATCATTATTATTGTTTGATGTCTCGGCGTGTAAGTGTAAAATAACATTGGACTGCAAATGTAAAATGGTCACTGAAATTTGTGATTGCGAGTGTTCTGTTTTAATTATCTGTAAGTGTGAAAAAGAAAAAAAAATCTCCATCATCAAACTAAAGTTTTTGTACTTCCAAAAAATGCATGGTATTGGTAGAATTGGAAGTGTTGACGTAAAAAAAAAATTACACTAAGACACGATAGGAATTTTTCTGAACTTAAAATAACTCTGCCCGCTAATAATCTATTATTGCAACATGCTCAAACCATTTAGATGAAACACTAAAGTAAAAAGAGTTCGATAGTGATGCCTCCGTAGCTATTGAAGAAATCATCGATGAAGAATTTAAGCTAACTAAGCCATCACGGCAGATGTGCATTACAATGAAAAATACTGCTCTGACAAGCGATCGCTATGGATTATCAGACAGAGCAACGGCAGCAATGCCCTCAACTGTTTTGCAAGATTCTGGTATCGTAAGCAATTATGATCACAGTCTTGTTATTGACAAAAATAAAATTAGAGGAGCAAAAGGGGATAACTGTTTACAACTTCAAATGCAGAGCAAGGAAAAATATAACCTACTTCAAGGACTATATTTTGATGGGAGGAAGGACAAACTCTAATGGTTGAAAAACATAAATTAAAACGGTGTTGACAAACCATAAACGAGGAACATTACTCAATGGTCATGTTTCACCAATTTCTGGGTTTTTCAAACATTGTCAGTAGCATTAATTTCAAACATTGTTAGTAGTATTATTTCATATTTGAATGAAGCTGGATTTTCATTTCATGAACTGAACGTAATCGGATCCGATTACGTTCAGTTCATATTTCATACGTTAGAAGGAGAAACGACAGGCCCAAAATCGTTTAGCGGTCCGATTGGCGCACAGCTTAATAAGAGTGAGAAATTACCTGTGGTAAAATTTGTTAGCGTCGATTGTAAAATTCCAGAAATTGACCGTAAAATTTTAGGCAAGGATTAGCAGTTCTTGTCGGATATAAGTTCTGCTATTAAATCAGGCAGTTGTTCTGAAGATTTATCTGTTTGTGAACCTGAAACAATTTTACACTCAAGGTGGTTAACAACTGCAAACAGATTTTTACGATTGTATTTGAGCCTTGAAACCCCAACAGAGAGCACAAAATCTTAGTTTCTTTTCTTTTGAAATCATATGTCCCTGTATGGTTTCATATAAAAAAAAAAAGTAAATACTTCACGAATGGAGCAGAACATGTATTTGAAATGGTAAAATTGTCAAGATTCTTTCCCAATGATTTGCTAAAAGTAATAGACCCAGTAATTGAGAGAAACGCTTTTTTAGTACATACAGAAAACTTGCTTTTAACAATGGTAGTAGACAAACTGGTTCATACTAGGGAATAATTGGATTAAAGAAGAACTATAAAGCTTACCTATACAAAGAAAGTCTATCAGGAGTTTTCAACCACCCAAAATTAATTTCCTTGCTACCGAATATATAGAGATGATTGACTGGAACACTACTGACAGAAATTAGCGAAAAGTAAAAAAATATAATTCTTCAAAAAAGACTTAGTCGAAAAGATATTTTTTTAATAAAAAAAAAGATTTCTTATTTACCATTCCAATACTTTTTTCTACTCTAGATATTTGCTAAAGAATTTATTCAATTTCATTTCAGTTATTTTATTATTTATTCAGTTAGAAAATTATAAAAAGGGAAAACTTCTTCGATTATTTAAGCGCGATGTGCTAGCTCCAGAAGTAAAATATTATTATTATATATATTTTTTTTTGCATTATCCTTAGGTACCTTATAGACAAGTTTTTTGTGGTATAGCGAGTCAAAAATCAGAAAAAAAAATTTTTCGGCCCACCCTAGTGTACAACTTGGGCAGAAAATGGATCAAAAGGAGTATCTCGTAATTAATTGGAGACAATTTTTCATCACATATAAATACATATGTACTTTCTTTGTGTGGAGAAAACATCATCAAGTTTATTGCACTTCCTCCGAACTCTACAGATTTAATGCAGCCATTAAATGTTTCAACCAATGAAAGCTCAGTGGAGAAAAGTATTAACAACTTAAAAGGAAAGAATAAAGGAACGTAAAGCTACCAAATGACAAGTTTCCAGCATTGCTAAAATGTTTCATAAATAAATTTGAAGAACCTGGTATTCAAAGTATGAAGTCAGGCTTCATAAAAACTGGACTATACCTCCTTGATCGAAAACAGGTACTTAATAGACTTAATAAAAGAACGTTTGCAAATGAAGATGTTACTCTAGAACTAGGTTCTCTTATCAGTGAGTTTTTCGTTTCTAGCTTCAACATTTAGTTGAAGCTAGAAACGATGATTATATCTCCCTACATAAAAAATGACTTAATGTCTCAGTTGCTTCGAGAAAAAGTGTATCATCAGTTGATGTAACTAATATGTAACCAGCTACAAATATTAATAAGAAAACAAAGAATTTGTCATTTATAGCTTAAATAAGTTTGAAAATTACTTTTCGAGCTGTTGTTTTTTATCTTAGAAATATATCACATAACATCCATGTATCTGTAAGTATGTAAAATATGAAATGAGTAATCAATAATTATAATTTGCTTTTAGGTGGCCAAAGTTATTAAAGTACTTCCAGAAGTCCTTACGGTCTTATTACAGAGCACCACGGATAGACTTTTAAATAGGAAGTTCACGACTCCTTCCATTGTTGCACAAAGGGCTAGAGCCGGCGTCGAACCTCGGTTATGAGCCAGCACTTTAACCACTGCGCTACGGGTGCCTTAAACTGAACACATATCTGCAGCTGAAATAAGCACAACAGCTGTAGCATGAAAAAAAAAAACATGTCGCCTTATATAAAAAAATTTCCCTATATTACATATCAAGGACCTTAATTTTTTTATTTTTTTTTTTAGGTATCTTTTTTAAGGGCCCATTAGATAGAAACAAAAGAAAACCTGGTGACAAGACCGTTTGGTCTTCTTGGGGCATCTAAAAAGCTAGGAGTTATTATTGATATGTCAAAGGCATTTAATACAGTAGATCATACATTACCAAAATAAAAAAAAAATAGAGTATAAAAGATCAAACAATTATAGTCCCCCCCCCCTTCCTTATATTCTAAAAAAGATCTGTTCATATTCTTAAAACTTTCTCAAACAACTTGGTTAAGTTTTTTCAAAATTTTATTGAGTTTTAGGGGGAGCGCAACACCCTTGAATACTTACCGGATCCCTAATACAAAAAAAAAAAAAATTTCAAAGGTATGTCATGTTGGGTCAAAAAAGCAAAACTTTATAAAAATTTCAAAAATAACAATCGTTTTATAAATGTATTTAAATTAAATTTTCTACATTCAATATTCTAAAATTTATCATCAATTGAAATATAAGACCAATTAAAAGTATTTTTGTCCTTAAAATAGACAAAGAAAATATCAATTTCTGTCGATTAGCAACCATGAGTAGTTGCGTTTTTCATCGTTTTCTTAAAATCAATTTATTATGACTTAGTACATTTTGAAAATTGGCAGCTCATATATATGTATTTATAATTATTGCAGCCGTGGGGCAGTGATTAGAAGAAGAAAGATATCCGGTGTTCAACGCTAATTCAGGGTGTCTTTTGCGTCATCGGTGAGGAAGGAGTCGTGAATTTATTTCATAGTAACAATAAAATATTTTTTACGACAATATTTTTTAGTGTGAATATTGAACTAATTATAATTTCTGAATGCTTTAAATCAAATAAAATTTCACTTAGCATTGAAAAAACAAAATCGTCTTTATTCATCGTTTATACTTTGAAAAACATATTCTACCAAGCGAATTGTCTATTCTTTTTATAGATGACTGACAATTTAAAGAGTAACAGTTACAAAGTTTTTTTGGGTCATATTGATGAAAATCTGGCATGAAAAAGACACTGTAAAATGGGGGTGAGCAAAACCGAATATCTAGTTCGGTTTGTTGAAATCGAATCCGATACCAGATTTTCGGATAGTTAAAACTCTAAACCGATTCCGGTTCCGGTTTTATCGGATATCCGTTACAATCAGATCGGAAACCGGATCTATTCAAAACTAATTATAAAAATTGGATAGTCTTCTGCTTTTCCAAACATATTGACTAGTTTTTTATATATATATATATTTTCGCGTGCTTTTTTTTTTTTTTTTTTTTGTTTCACTTTTGTCGTTGTTTACAAAGATAAACAGACAAGGCTTCTGAAAGAAGATCATAATGATCTTATCAGAACCTTTTACAATTTTTTTTTTAAATCA